AATTAATTATGTATATACCCCCTGACCCAGTGACCCCACTCCTGAACATGTTTGGCCCAGGGAAAATTTTGCACAAGACCATAAGGGGACACACAGTGTTATGTGGGACGACTGTAAGTTCAAAGCTACCTAGACACCCATCATGGGGAAATAGCTAAAGATGGTGGATGTCTATGAAATGCAATGCAGTAGTTAGACCAATGTGCTAGATCTACACATTGCAACATATTTAAATCGTAAATACATGAAGGTGACAAAAGGTAAAAGACGATAAGATTTCTAGTACAATCACATTTACGTAAATTGAAAATACATACACACTCAACACTACAGAGTTTCAAAAATCATGCATATTGAAGGTCAGTTATTTAAACAGATTAAAGAGAGTGACTATGGTGGGCAAAGGATAGGAATGGGCATTGGAATAAAAGGGGAATGAGTAAATAACCAGAGAAAGGCCTAACCCAGACATGTGAGGATAATAGCTCTGAACTAGGGCTTCTCAAAGTCGCATCTGCTAAATGCAGATTCCTCTTCAGTAGATCTGTGGTTCTGCTTCTCTCCTAAGCTGCAGTTAACACTGGCCCTGCTGGTCTAGGGACTTCACTTTAAGTAGCAAGGAGACTAAGGGATAAGATTAACTGAGATCTGGAAGGTTTAAAAAGGAAGGGAAGGAGGAGGGGCTCAGGAAGGGAGACACAAATCATTTAAGGTGATGTTGGGGACATCCAGAACAAGGGCAGTGGGTCTATAACACGCAAAGGGGAAAAGGTAGTAGACACAATCTCCGATTCTTGCAATCTGTCATGCCAGCCTATACCACACACCCAACTTTTCACCAAGTGGAAACAGTTGAAATATTTGTAGTAAGGAGAGATTGAGGGGGGAGCTTGGGGGGGGGGGGAGAGAGACTCCCCTTCCCACCAGGTGCAAACTACTGCTGAAGAGAACATAGGTCAAAATTCTACAGAAAGATCTTTCCAAACCTTCCTATTCAAAGCCATGCCCTCAGCACCACCCTCGGCAGGCCTGGCACTTGCTATTCTCCATGTCACCCCTCACTGATCGTAGTCATATCATGCAGCACTGACCATATTATCTTCTTTGGTTACTCATTAATGGTGTGTTTCCCTTATACTAGAGTATAAGCTCATAGGGCTAGGGAATTTATAGGTTTTTTTCTCACGTTCTATAGAGTACCTCAAGTTTACAAGGTAGAGGCTCTAACTATATAGTTTTTTGAATAAATGAACGAATGAATATCAGTGTTGGTGAAGCACTAGAGCATAATACCAAATTATTGGAGGTAAATGTTCAGAACAAAATTTTTTAAATTTTTAAAATATTTATTTATATTTGAGAGAGAGAGCAGGGGAGGGGTAGAGAGAGAAAGGGAGACACAGAATCTGAGGCAGTCTCCAAGGCTCTGAGCTGTCAGCACAGAGCCCAATGCAGGGCCCAAATCCATGAGCTGTGAGACTATGATTTGAGCCAAAGTCGGATGCCCAATTGACTGAGCCACTCAAGTGCCCCAGAACAAAAATATTTTTAAAAACCGACCATCATCAGGGCACCTGGGTGGCTCAGTCAGTTGAGCATTGGACTCTTGATTTGGGATTAGATCGTGGTATCATAGTGATGTGATTAAGCTCCACATTGGACTCTGCGCTGGGTGTGAGGCTGCGTGAGATTCTCTCTCCCCATCTCCCTCCCTCCCTCTGGCCCTCTCCCCACTTCCACTCTCTCTAAAATAAAAAATGAAGAACTGACCATTATCTGCTTAGGAGGCAGTGAGGCGGGTTAGAAGAGGACAGACCTAAGCAGAACCATGGTGAGGAAAAGTTTGGGGTAACCACTATGCCCTGTTTCTTCTACCTCTTTTCAGTATCACTTTTAACTACTTCCTGATCCCGCCCACCTGCCCGACCAAGGCACTGTCAGTACTGCTGTCTGTTAACATGTGTCATCTAGAAAGTTGTGTCACCACTACTTTGGAGTGAATTTGCTTGCTTTTTCAGTAAACCCAGAGGGAGAACAAATTAGAAGAATGATTTCTAATGGAGGAATTTCCAAAACTGAGTGCCTACCTGGGAAGAGTAGGGCCCCTCCAGCTCTCCACACCAGAGGCACAGGACAGCTTTTCTGCTAACAAAGGAAGAAGGTCCTGTGAAGGCACCATTGCCATAGGAGAAAAACAGGCTAAGTCACAAAGAAATACAACAGATGTGGCGCTTGGGTGGCTCAGCCGATTAAGCGTCTAACTTGGGCTCAGGTCATGATCTCATGATTCATGGGTTCGAGCCCCGCATCAGTCTCTGTGCTGACAGCCCAGAGCCTGGAGCCTGCTTCAGATTCTGTGTCTCCCTCTCTCTCTGCCCGTCACCCACTCATTCATATTCTCTCACTCTCTCTCTCTCAAAAATAAATAAACATTAAAAAAAGAACAAAGAAATACAACAGAATAAAAATCATTTCTTTTTTTAAATGGTTATTTTTGAAAGAGCACACGCCCAAGTGGGGGAGGGGCAGAGAGGGGCAGAGACAGAAGATCCAAAGCAGGCTCTGTGCTGACAGCAGAAAGCCCAATGCAGGGTTCGAACTCATGAACTGTGAGATCATGACCTGGGCCAAAGTTGGACGCTTAACCAACTGAGTCTATCCAGGCATCCCCAAAATCATTTCTTAAATGGTAAGGGTCTCCAGTAATAAAAGAAACACAAATTAAAACAAGATACCATTTTTTGTCTGGAAAATTGGCAAAGATAGTTTTTTTAAGACAAAATTTAATGTTGGCAAAGATGCTGAGGAAAAGGCACTCATATTCAACTTGTGAAAGTGGGGGAAGATGTAAAATTTGGGGAGGTCAATTTAGCACTATATATCCAAAACCTTAAAAAAAAAAAACAATAAAACAGAATAAATAAGCAAGTGTGTGTGTGTGTGTGTGTGTGTGTGTGTGTGTGTGTGTGAATTGACACAGCAATTCAATTTGGGGGATTTTGAGTGACTAGAAGCTGGGGATGCTGCTCACCACCCCACAATGCACAAGCAGCCCCTCACGACAAAGAATAATCTTGTCCAGAATATCAGTAGTGCTAAGGTTGGGAAACTCTGCCCTAGACCATGTCATCCAAGAGAAAGCAAGAAGGAAGCACAATACCTTTTATGACAGAGTCTTAGAAATCACACACCACTGCTTCTGCAACATTATATTCATTAGAAGTAAGTACAAGAAGAGAATTAAACTCTGCCTTTTGAAGAAAAGAGTATCGAAGAATTTGTGGACATAATTTAAGCCCAGCACAGTGTGTCCTCCAGCCACAAATGATTAACATTCCCCTCCTCTCAGATGCAAAATATACTTATCCCATTATTAAACACTCTCCCCCACCCCCCACCCCTTTTAGACCAAGTTGGCAGTGCTTATGCCAATACAGTTCTTCAGAACACTTTGCAGTCTCCTATGAATCTTACTGAGGTCCACACCACAAACCTACACATCTCTTCAAGATGATCCTTTCTCTACCTTGAGATTCTGCTGAAAAACATCCCTTCAGTTTCTTGGAAGTTCTATTGTTTTAGTGAGAGAATTTGTGAGGCAACTTTAACAATTTTAATAAGTCTTTTGTCTGACTGAAAGGTACTGGGAGGGGGGGACACCTGGGTGGCTCAGTCAGTTGAGTGTCCAACTCTTGGTTTCAGCTCAGGTCATGATCCCAGGGTCGTGGGATCAAGCCCTGTGTCAGGCTCCACACTGGGCATGGAGCCTCCTTGAGATTCTCTCTCTCTCTCTCTCTCTCTCTCTCTCTTTCTCTCTCTCCCCCCCCCATCTTCCTCTGCCCCTCTCCTCCACTTATGCTCGCCCTCTCTCTCTTTCTCTAAAATAAAAAATAATGTGGGGCACCTGGGTGACTCAGTCGGTTGAGTGTCCAACTCTTGGTTTCAGATCAGGTCATGATCTTACAGTTTCATGGGTTTGAGCCCCACGTCAGGCTCTGTGCTGCCAGCTCAGAGCCTGCTTAGGATTTTCTCTCTTTTTCTCTCTCTCTGCCTTCCCCCACTTGCACTGTCTCTATCTCTCTCAAATAATAAATAAACCTTAAAATAAAATAATAATTTTTTTTTCAAAAATGAAAGGTACTCAAAAGAATCACCTTTGATCTTTCTGAGGTTTTACCAACGGTTTTAATAATTACATCCTTGGATTCATCTTTAGACCATATTTTCATGGAAGTGTCCTTTTGGATTTGATCTTTGCTACAAATCATTTCTAAATTTAAACATCATTTGTCATCTGAGAGGCTAGGAATTTTCAAAACCATAAAGTGCTGGTTCCATTTTGTTTAGCTGTCCTTATTCCAGCTTATCTATCTCCTCTTGCATTTTACTATAAGCAGCAAGAAGCAGTATCTTCAGTACCTTCAACACTCTGATAAATACCTCCTTAGTTATATCACCCAGTTTGTTAGGTACCTTTTTTACTTTCTATGTTACTTTGGGTGACAGTGTGGTGAAAATCCCCGCTATTATATAACAAGGAGACCATTTCTCCCCATTTCCAAGGTGTTTACCTCGTTTTCCTGCAAGTCTTCACTCACAGCCTCCTCAAAGCCCATGAGACTTCTGCTAACCGTTTCTTCAAAGCTCTTCAAGCTTTCACTAATGCTGTCCTCAGACTTCTTCCTGGTTTCACACACTGCCCAGTCCTGCTTCCTTCCAATATCCTACTTTGAGGCATTAAAATCTATATTGTTCTGGGGCATCTGGGGGGTGCAGTTGGTTAAGCATTCGAATTCAGCTCAAGTCATAAACTCACGGTTTGTGAGTTCGAGCTCCATGTGGGCCTCCGTGCTAGTAGCTCAGAGCCTGGAGCCTGCTTTTGGATTCCGTGTCTCCCTCTCTCTCTGTCCCCCCTCCCCTCTCTCTCTCAGAGATAAATAAACGTTAAGAAAATGAATTTAAAATTTTTAATCTATATTGTTCATCTATTCGCTGCATAACAAATAATCCCTAAACATAATAGCTTAACACAAGAATCATTGGAGTAGTTTTTATGGGTCAAGAATTCAGAAGCAACTTAGTTGGGTACTTGTGGCTCAGCATCTTCCACGTGGCTGCAGTCAGGATGTCAGTAGGGCTTCCAGTATCATCTGAAGTCTTCATGGGGCTGGAGGATCCACTTCCAAGATTGTTTATTCACATGGCTGTTTGCAGAATTTTCCATGGGGGCCTTTCCATAGGTAGGATGGGTGTCCTCACAACATAGCAGCTAGTCTCTCCCAGAGCAAAGGATCCAAGTGAGAACAAGGAGGAAGCTGCAATGTCTTTTATGATTTAGTCTCAGGAATCACCCATCATCATTTCTCCCACATTTTCCTGCTAAAAACCAAGTGTAGATACAGCCCACACTCAGGGAAACAGAGTTACACATCATATTTTGAAGGGAAGAACATCAAGTAATTTGTGGACATTTTAAAAATAAACACAGACACCCCCCCCCAATCAGAAACTCCTTAAAGGACTTTCTCAAGGAATTTCATGCATTGCAGCTATTAAACTGAGAGAGAAAGAGGGGGGCAAATGGACCCTTTGAATGAGTTGAATTAAAATATCATTTGAATTCACAGCTTTGCCAGATCCCATTTGTGAAGATAAAGCACTGCTTGGGAAAGAGTGAGACCCTCAATGCTGAAATGTGAATACATGGGAAGATTCAGACGGCTTCTAGTTCCCCCAAATCCCCAAGCCTATGGAAATACACCACTCAGATCTCTTGCTGCATGGTGTATAACTGACTGACACCAGGCTGATGCCCACCCTTGCGCTGAGGCTATGCTCTCTGGGGCTGCTCCCAACCAATGATGGAGTGCACGGAAGCATTCTGGCAAGATGTAAGAATCCGCCTTTTGGCAGCTTTTACTTGAAGACTCCCCAGTGGCCTGGCCAAATCGTTATTTGAGTTGTGCTGCAGTTCAAGATTCTTCCTGCCCCAATCCCTCTTCCTTCCCTCTCTCCTTCCGCAGGCATCACACATGCACTATGATCTAAAGGCTCTTCCCATGTTCTCCTGCTTCCTCTCCCAGGAAATCTTTCACTTCAAATCCCATTTTGCCATCTGCTCCTTGCAGACAGAAGCTAACACAGCCTTCCTTGTCAGACAGATGCTCTCTACTCCCCTGTGTGTAAAATTTTTCCCACCTTGCACAAGGGCTCTATAATGACCTTTGTGGAAATAATCAGGAAGGAGATTGGTGTAGCTGATTGTCTACATTCTCCACCCCTAACACCTTTCATAGCTTTAATCCTCACATCAGTAATGTGCTAGAGACTCTTTATCAGATCACAAAAGTCAATTAATAAATTCTCAGGAATTTAGTGAGCTGGTTGGTAAACACAGTCATTATTAAAATGCAAATATACTTACGACTAAATAAATTACATTAACGGGGTTCCTGGGTGGCTCAGTTAAGCCTCCAACTCTTGATTTCGGCTCAGGTCATAATCTCATGGTTCGTGAGTTCGAGCCCACACTGGGCTCTGTGCTGACAGGGCAGAGCCTGCTTAGAATTCCCTCTCTCCCTCCCTCTCTCTGCCCCTACCCTGTTTGCACTCTCCTTCTCTCTCCCTCAAAATAAATAAATAAACTTAATAAAATGTTTTTAATAATAAATTACACTAACAACAAAGGTAATAACTCAAAACCATATCACTTTCTAGTTGTTAACAAACTTTTGTTGGTATCTATGCTCTTGAAGTTAGTTACATCTCTTATATCTGGGTGTTGGAAATGAAATATAATGGTGCACTAGCCTTCTCTTTGGAAGTTGAAGGCCAGATTTAGATGTGCTGTTTCAGCTCCTGTCCTCAGTAATCTGAGAGGTTGCCAGCTTTGAGTGCAGCCGGCAGCAAGAGGCTTGTGGTTGGTCCAGGAATCTCTGCTCTCTGATCCAATGAATCCAGTGCACTTGAAACACCTGTGGCAGACAAGGCTGCAGAACAGAGCTTTGGCACATCCAGAAAGGCTAAGCAGAGCACAGGCCCCCCGGGATTACTGCAGCCTGGCCATGAACTCTGTGGCATATAACTGTTCTCCTTTTGAGAGACCAATCTTGGTTTGTTGCTAGGCACTGATAAATATGGGGGTCTGATCATGAGCCATTAAGTAACCAAGCGACTGGTGCCCATTGTAAACTTGGGGTCATCTGATCCACCAAGCCGTAAAGTCAGCTAACATTTAGTGTGCGCACATGCTGTGCCAGGCTCTCTTATAAGCACTTTACTCATAACATTTCCTTTCATCTTCATCAAAATTCTGGGAGGCAGTTCTGTTATTATTGCTATTATCCCTATGTTAGCTGAGAAAACTAACACGGAGGGAGGATAAGTGATTTGCCCCCCAGTTATAGAGCTCATAAGTAAGTAGCAGAGCTTGATGTGAACCTAGGCCCTCTGGCTCCAAAGTCCATGTGTTTAATTACCAAATTATATTGCTTCTCATGATCAGGTGGAAGTTTTCTGTATGGGATTGGGCTTGAGCAGAAACTGAAGACACAACAAGTTGTATGGAGTGCCCAGTCCTCTCACACGGCCACTCTTCCTCAGTCTACACATGTGACCTAGGGATGTTCTCCACGACCAGGTCTCTGAACAGACAACCTGCACAATACGATCGTAGTAGCCGCAAGTGGACGCCACAACACTAAAGCCCAGCTCCAGGCTGGCCCTCAAGAACAACTGGGGAGAATTTCCCAGGAGGGGGAATGTTTAAAGTTTCATCCTGTTGACCACTTTGTCTGAAACGAGAAACGGCCTAAGGTGCATATGTCACCTGTACCGGTCAGTAGCTGAGGATTTAGCTCAGCAGCCAGACTGGGAAGGACCACAAATGCAAGGCTGCTGGTGACAAAGATGCTCGGGGGAGGAGGTATTCGGGAGATCTCTCAGAATGGATCCTTGAGAGTATAAGGATATTTGGTTTTTTGTGAATCCCCATCAAAGGTCTCCACTGTGGAGGAAGCGCTCAATAACCAGGCGAAAAGGCTTACCTAGCCTTTGCCCTTCGGCCCACTTCTTTCCCCAGACACTTCAGCGTTGCCTGGTGATCTCATGAACAACATAGGCATGGAGGCAGAAGTGCAGACTGTACATGGGTTTCAGCAACTTGGACTTTCCCCTCACCAAGGCTGATCTGGCTTCTGCCTCTGTTGAATATGTAGTTGTCCAGCAATTAAAACTAAATCTGAGTGCCTGATATGAGTTAGGCATGAATGTAACAAAGCCAGGAGCAGTGTGGCCAGGAAAAGAAATCAATTCTCTCCAGACCACCACTGCCGACACCACTTGTTGCTCAGCACCTGACTGTCAGAATCCCAGCCCTGATTGCCCAAATCCTGCCCCGGCCTGTCTCATCGAACTGGATTCCTCCTCTGCTGGACGTGTGGGAGGAACAGCTAGCCCTCTGTTGCTCTTGTGGGCTACCAAACATGTGGGCATGTGTGATGAGTTGAAAACATCCAGGAAGTCTGAGAAAAGTAGCCTAACTGGAATAGCTACATTTTCTGATTTGGATTTGTTTTCCTTTTTAACAAGCCTCTGCCTACACCAGCACTCATAGATGTATGGAATGTCTATTCGCTGCTATGGAATTCCATCCAACACCGGTTCTCACTAAGTAACTAATTTTACAGGAGTGGGCTGACACTCTGGGGTTCATGCTTCTGTCATGTACACCATCACCCTAAAGTCTGGCCTCACAGAAGGCATGGCAAAGACTCATTTATGGCATGATTGCTATGTAGTCAGTACAACATACAGATGATTGAGATGAAATCACAACAGTCCTGAGGATGAAAGGTCATCGCCCAGAAATTTTGTATGTGAAGACAGATGCAGTAACTCACACAACTTTGGGACTCAATATGCTTTTAATAAATTCCTTTTTTGATTAAATTCTACAGAGTGGGTTTCCTAGAGAAAGATCTAGAAGGATATGTTCCAATGAGTTAAGAGTGGTTATTGCTGACTCTATAGGAATTAGTCACATTTTCTATATTATTTTTGTTAGTTTATATTTTCTGATTTTCCTAGCATGAGCGTTAACATTTTTAACAAAGAATAATTTTTTGAAAATTAATTTAAAAACATGTATCATTTTGAGGGGTGCCTGGGTGGCTCAGTTGGTTAAGCATCCAACTCTAGATTTCTGCTCAAGTCATGATTTCACAGTTTGTGAGATCAAGCCCCATGATGAGCTCTGCACTGATAGTGAAGAGCCTGCTTGAGATTCTTTCCCTCTCCTTCTGTCCTTCACTCGCACATGTGCTCGCTGGCTCTCTCTCTTTCTCTCTCTCTCTCTAAAAATATATGAATAAACATTTTTAATTAAAAACATAGAAAGATATATCATCATGAGTCACCATTAAACTTTATGACTTATGACATTTATTGTCAAAACTAACATGCCTAAAAAGGGAAAAACTTCAGTAAGCTTAATTCAAAATTAAAGAAAATAATATTCTAAAAAAGAATAAAGGAGGTGTTCACTCAAAACCAAGGAAAATAATACTATTGGAAAATGCAATAGAGTAATTCTGCTTTTACTTATGGTTTTATTTATTATTTACAAATGGTTGATATACCTATGTAATAATATTGACAATGCTACAAAAATGTGAAAAGACTATATCAACTGTGAAGATCTCACAGTTGATATGATACGTAAGATATTGATTAATGGAAGCAGACAGCCATTGTGAAATGTTTGTAAGTATTAAGTCTGAAATTTATGGATGTTGCCAAGTCAAAGTTGTACATCCATGGGCCACTCATAAATTGTATTTAAGGTTTAAAATGAGGTAGAGAGGGGCGCCTGGGTGGCTTAGTTGGTTAAGCGTCTGACTTTCGCTTAGGTCATGATCTCATGGTTCGTGGGTTCGAGCCCCGCGTTGGGCTCTGTGCTGACTGCCAGCTCAGAGCCTGGAGCCTGTTTCAGTCTGTGACTCCCTCTCTCTCTGACCCTCCCCTACTCACGCTGTCTCTCTCTCTGTCTCTCTCCTAGAAATAAATAAAACATTAAAAATAAAATAAAATAAAATGAGGTAGAGAAATAGCCAAGTATGTAATAAATAAAATCGATCTAATCATATTCCCAAGATTCTTTGATGCTTGTGTTATTTTATAGAAGTCTTATTACACTCACATTAATGTTCCTTCCTGATGTACATCTTCTCAAGGAACTTTAAAAAAAAAAAAAAGATGAGTAAACTTTCATTAGATTGGGAAACAAAAATTGTACAGCCCTGCCCACAACCACTACCATATACAAATTCACAACCTCACACTCTGGCATATATCCTGGTACTCAAATCTCATGTTGGTAACTGGCCATGATAGATGTGGGACTTTGGAAGGTAGTTGCGCCATGTCAGAAATACCGAAATCTAATTCCCATGTGTTCTGTGCCCAAGTCCAGCCCAGCTCAGCTCAGCTCAGCTCAGCAAAGCCCTGTGCTGCTCATCCCTTCTATTAAAAACCTGGGGCCCGTCTGTGTAGTAGCCAGAATGAAGCCAAGAGTAATGAACAGAGTAGATAATCCAGCAGCAGATGCTAGAATGTGTATAAAGTACCTATGCTCATGTAACATATATGAATGTGTGTGTACAGTGTACACAGACCTTATGGGGAATAAAAAGAGAATGAATATTTATATTAATGACATATATATAAAATAGATATAGTAAAATACATTCCTTCCTCTCTTTTAGTTGAAAGTTTATTGATGAAATAGACAATAGAGGATGTAAAAATAAAGGAAGAAAATATGTTCCAGGGTTTTGAATGACAGGGGTTCTCAGAAGACTCAGCTATGTCAGGGGCATCATCTCTCTTTAGTTAATGCAGCTAAAAAGTTTAGTCAGTGTGTCAGGCAGGCTTCTTTTTGCCCAAAATTGAACTAAATGTTCGTCAACAAAATGAATTAAACCAACAGGGGACAAATCAAAATTTTTTTTAAAAAGTATTCTGCCACTAAAAATATTATGACAGAACTGAGTTATTATAATGGCAAACAAGGATTATATATAGTATATATATATAAGCAAGGATTATATATAATCCTTGGCAAGAGGAATACATATGTGGGTGGGTATGTGTATATATATATATGATGTGTGTATATATATATACACACACATCACATTTATATATATATCACATAATTATACTTGTGCTTAAATATATTTATATATGCTATAAAATATATAATATGTGCAATTATGTAATCATATAAAATATTATCAACATACGTATTTCATACATGTAAGTATGTAAATGTATACTTATGTGACCCTCACATACAGATTAGGCAGCTATAAGTACAAAAATATATATAAGCATGGTAAATATATCTCACAGGCCTATTATTGATGCTCAAAACTAAAGGAGATATTTCATTCCAGTTCTGTAATGGAGACTTTTCACCCTTCTCCCCTCACACTCTGGACTTTCCCTCACATTTAGCTTTGAAACCAGTCTATATCTGAGTTTTGTCAACACATTTATTTGCCAGTAAGTACAAGCTATTGTTAGTTCTATCATTCATGGGAAAAAATATATCCAGTGTCCCATTTCCCAGCTTCCTGACCATCTTGGCTGCACGGTGTCCTAAAGACCCATGGGATATGCACACAGAGGTTCCTGGGTAAATGCATAACTTAACAGCTATGACGTTAGCAGCACGGCTAGCTGCTTTCTCACTGTGGTGACAGAGCTGGTCTGGACACAGAACTCTACACTCTGAGGCCCTCCTGCTAACAATGGTCCTCTCTGCCAACCTGCTGCCCCATCCATATTGCACATGGTTTTCCAAGAGTGTCCGCTCCACGTGGGAGGCAGCTGGGGCTAGACTTACAACTTAAGAAAGGGGAAACTAGATGAGGGGTAAGAGAAACTAGGGAAAAATACGAAGATACTGGTGGGCCCTGGGAAGTGAACTTTTGCCCTAGTCTGTTTCCATACAAGGCTGATCCACACAGGCTAATTCCTATTGTGAATCTCAACTCCATTTTGTCCTGACCCAAGTCACAGCTCTCTGTCCTTAGACATGGAAGCAAAAGACACTTGAGGACTTCCTAGAGACTTCAGACTATTTGACTATATTTGACGAACAGTCAGAGTTTGCAAGGTGCATGGCCTGCAAATAGACCCTTTCCTCTTTGCCCCCATTAAGGCCAAACTCAAGGCAGGTAAGTCAGCAGGGAGACAGCACCTCTGACAGCAGAAACCAAATAGGTAGAATAAAAAAAGCAAAAGTCAAATCCTATCTCTGGGCCTTTGTCTAGGAAAAAGCATGCCCTTCCTTCCAGGAACCTAAGCCCTGGTATGAGAGGTACTATTGACCCCTGAACAATATGACAGGAGTTGGGGCACCAACCCCTACTCAGCTGAAAATTTGTGTATAAGTTTTGACTCCCCAAAGACTTTACTAATAGCTTCCTGTTGACCAGAAGCCTTATGGATAACATAAACAGTTGATTAACATAAATCTTTTGTCATATATATTATATACTGTCTTCTTCCATTAAAGTAAGCTAAAGAAAAAATGTTATTAAGAACATCATAAGGAAGAGAAAATATGTTTACAGTATCATACTATATTTATCGAAAAAAATTCATGTGTAAGTAGACCTGCACAGTTTAAGCCTGTGTTGTTCAAGAGTCAACTGCATTTTGCTTTTGAGAGGGTGCTGACTCTGCCCCATCAACAACCATGAGCCCCTCAGCAAGTCTTTCTGAAATGATCCTTTACTCACACTTGGCATTCTGTAGCCCCTTCTTAGAATGAAATCCTTAAAAGCAGTTGTTCCATGAAGGTCTGCTAGTAACTCCTCCTAAAAGAGGATCCACATAAAAAAAAAAAAAAAAGTCAGCTGTCAGAAGCTTGATTCCATCCTTGTTCAAATTGAAAGCATTTAGCTCTTTATGAAGTACCTTATTTTAAATCACTTCCTCCTCATCTGGGAGTAGATGTGTGGATAACGTTCTCCAATCAGTGAATATAAAGGCTTTCAAAAGATGTCCAACTTTCTCTCCTTTCCCTACTCTTTTCTTACCCTTGTATTAAAGATAAGCAATACACTTTATCAATTTGACAATTATTACTCAAGATGTCTGGAATTTAACCTATTTGAGATTAACAAATGTGATACTATGATTTTCATTTTTATCTTTTTTGATGTTCATTTATTTATTTTGAGAGAGAGAGAGCACATGTGCAAGCAGCAGAGAGGCAGAGAGAGAGAGAGAGTCTCAAGTAGTCTCTGTACTGTCAGCAGAGTCTGATGTGGGGCTCAATCCCATGAACCGAGAGATTGTGACCTGAGCCGAAATCAAGAATCAGACACTTAACCAACTGAGCCACCCAGGCACAATACTGTGATTTTCTTCTTTTTGTGTTATGATTTTTTAAAATTTATTTTTTAATTTACATCCATATTATTTAGCATATCATGCAATAATGATTTCAGGAGTAGATTCCAGTGATCCATCCCCTATGTATAACACCCAGTGCTCATCCCAACAAGTGTCCTTCTTGCTGCCTCTTACCTATTTAGCCCAACCCCCCACCCACAACCTTTCAAGCAACCTTCAGTTTGTTCTCTGTATTTAAGAGCCTCTTATGTTTTGTCCCTCTTGTTTTTATACTATTTTTGCTTCCTTTCCCTTATGTTCATATGCTTTGTATCTTAAATTCCTCATATGAGTGAAGTCATATATTTGTCTTTCTCTGACTGAGTGACATTGCTTAGCATAATAACCTCTAGTCCATCTACATAGTTGCAAATGGCAAGATTTCATTATTTTTGATAACTGAGTAATACTCCATTGGATTATTAATAAGAAATATATATTTGGTCTTCTTCCTATTCCTGGCTCAGAGCTCCTAAAACCACTGCAATTTCCAAGTGATAAGAGCCACAAAGACAAAAGGAGAGTGTTTTGTTCTTCATAACTAGCCCCTTTTAATTACAACAGAGTTTATGTTAATGAAGTGATTTTTGGAAAGCCCCTCAATAGCCCTAGGATGGGGTCTGGTTGCCAGAGGAAACAACCAGGTGTTGGAACTTTGGGCTCCACCCTGCAATCTCTGGCTGAATTGATCTCTGATGACCAGTGATTTAATCAACCACTCCTACTTATGAAAGCCTCTATAAAAAAACCAAAGGGTATAAGGTTCAGAGAAATTGCAGGCTGGTAAGCATGTGGGGATTTTGGGAGGGTGGTGTGCCTGGCTAGGGCACAGAAGCTCGGCCCCCTTCTACATATACCTTGCTTTGCGCATCTGGCTATTCCTGAGTTATATTCTTTTATAATAATCTTTTATTATAACCTATAATCTGGTAAGTAAGCTGTTTTCCTGAGTTCTTTGAGCAGATGATAGAACCTGAAGAGGAGGTGTGGGAACTCCTAATGTACAGCTGGGTGGTCAGAAGCACAGGTGATAATCTGAATTTGCGATTGTGAGGCCGGTGTTGTGAGGCCAATGTTGTGAGACTGAGCCCTTAACCTGTGGGGTTTGGTGCTAACTACAGGTAGATAGTGTCAGAATTGAATTAAATTGTAGGACACCCAGCTGATGTCTGGAGAATCAGAGAATTGTTTGGTGTGGGGGGAAAAAAACTGGACACATTTGGTGACTGGAACTGAGAGGAAGAAACAGGAGTGTTTTGCCCACTAGGCAGATATCCACAATTTTCAGAGCTGTTTAAAAAGAGCAACAGGTCCAACACAGAGTCACTTCTGTTAAGCCCCACCCAGATTTAACACCTAACCTCACTGTTATTTCAGCCTCTCGCAGGAGTGGGATTTTAAGCCAGTCAGTCTGAAATTTCCTGATGAGCACTAGTGAGGTACTGTGCTTAAGGACCCCAGCCCCTCCCTCTAAGGAAGGTGACCTTACCTAAAACAATCCTTGCCCTTTTTTTTTTGCTAATAACTTCCTTATCCCACCCCATTTCTGCCCATAAAAGCCTTCCATTTTGTGTAAGTCCTTGGAGCACACTTCTGTCTGTTAGATGGGATGCTGCTCAATTCATGACCATTGAATAAAGGCAAGTAGATCTTCAAATTAGCTTCATTGAATTTTTGTTCTCTGACAGTTTGGTGGCAGCAAGGGGACCAAAGGAGACTTCCAGTGGCTTTGAGGAACAACAAGAAACAGGAGTGGTGCCTGAGAACACTTCGTAGTCTTGCTGCTTCTGAGGGCCATTGGTCACTTCCTCTCAGTTCTGAGCTCCACTCCCTGCATCAAGCTGCTGATTTAACTGTTTTCCCCAGTTCCCTTCCACTGGAAAGCCCAGCCCTTGGTTCTATCACCAGATCCATGTCGGGAACCGCTTGGTGGCAGCTCTAGTTCCCCATTTGTTTGGAATCATTCTGCAGTCCCTATTCTTTTGAGGTTGCTGGTTCAATCCTTCTTCTAATCTCCACATTCCACAAGGGAACTGCTGGTGGTTACAGGCCAGAGTTGGACTGAGTCCAACTTAAAAACCAGACTTGGTCTGATTTCGGATTGGACTGGGTCCAACTTTGGCTTGTCTGGCTCCGACTTGGGCTGGATGGGTCCCATGGGAGGCCTCAGGTATTAAGTATTAAATAAGGCCTAGTTGCTAATAATAATCTCAGAAGCCAGGCTGAAAAGTTTGGTGGGCTGAGGTTGAGCATTTAAAGAATGTTAAAGTACTTACCATTCCAAGAAGACTCCTGTGATAGATAATCTGAGTATCAGTTTAGCTCCAAGAAACCCAAAGGCCTACTAGCTAAAAGAGAGGGGGTCCTTCATATCCAGAGATCCACCTCGCCACATTCTTATCTATTTTATGTCTGAGAACTATGGTCCTAGAAACTGCAGGTGTCTAGCAAAGTGGCAAAATTTTTCTAAAAAGAACCCAGAGTAACAATGGCCATTATGAGGAACATTCCAATTAGATAAGATCACTTATTTTAAAAGTGCTCTTGAAAGGGATGCCTGGATGGCTCAGTTGGTTAAGCATCCAACTCTTGATTTCGGTTCAGTCATGATCTCACAGTCCTAAGATCAAGCCCTGTGTCAGGCTCTGTACTTAACAAATGGAGCCTGCTTGGGATCCTCTCTCCATCTCTCTCTCTGCCTCTTCCCAGCTCATGGTCTCTCTCTCTTTCTCTCTCTCTCTCTCTCAAAATAAATAAACATTTTTTAAAGGGAAATAAGAAATGCACTTGAGAGCAAGTGGGTCTCAAGTTAAACACACAGAATGGGATGTTTACTTTAATTGGTATGCAGAAGTCTCCAAAAGTTTGAAGATTCCAAAATAGCCTCATTAAAAGACTTGGTTACAAAAAGCCAATGAAAAATTAAAGACACAAGAGGTATGGAGAACAAAAGACCACAGGACTGCTATAACTCCTACTGTTCCCCCACCCTTTTTCACTTGAGAACACAGGTTTTATTAATCCTCTGTCTGAACATCCTTTCCACTCTGAAGAGACTATCGGACACTTACTTTTTAAAGTAAAACTACCCAGGGGTACCTGAGTGGCTCAGTCAGTTAAGGGTCCAACTCTTGATCTCAGCTCAGGCCATGATCTCACAGATCAAGTCCCACATCAGGCTCCACACTGACAGCTTGGAGCCTGCTTGGGATTCTCTCTCCCTCTCTCACCCCTCTCCTGCTCACATTCTCCCTGTCCCTCTGGCTCTCTCTCTCTCACATACTCTCTCTCTCTCAAGTAAATAAATAAACTTTAAAAAACAAATAAAATTAAAATTAAATAAAACCACCAAGGTTACAAATGAACCTCTCAGGTATCTTTTACCCCTTGGTCAAAGACTGAACTAATGGCTGTAATTAAAGAATTTCCTAGAGGCTCCTGGGTGGCTCAGTTGGTTAAGCATCCGACTTTGGCTCAGGTCATGTTCTCAGAGTTTGTGGGTTCAAGCTCCATGTCGAGCTCTGTGTCGACAGCTAGTTCAGAGCCTGGAGCCTGCTTCAGATTCTGTGTCTCCCTCTCTCTCTGACCCTCCTCTGCTCATGCTGTCTCTATCTCTCTCTCAAAAATAAATAAAACATTAAGAAAAAAAAGAACAAGAAAAAGAAATTCCTAAACCTAGGGAGGAAACCTGAAAGTTTTTATAAGAATCTGAGTCCTTATCTGTGCCTATGACCCCAGGCTTCCATGTCTTTATCACCATGTCCACATGTTGGTAGGACATGGTGAAGCCCAAAAATGGATACAGTAAGCAAGACAGCAAAACTCCACAGATGATATTTGAGCTCTTTGGTCTTCAACATCTCAGGGACTAGAAAAAGCTCACAAAATAGCAGCTGAGCTGTTACACATTCCTAAGTGTAACAAAACCTCTCCCTAAATTACCTCAATAACCATTAAAGCCTGAGGCCGTACAAGGCCTCAAACCCATAGAAGACCCAATTGCCCAGGGCTAATCATTCCCTGTACCAGTTCCTGCAACAGCCGTCCAATCTTGCCTGTCTAGAAACCTAATGGACCAGATGCTGAGTTTTCCAGGATTTGAGGGCTATTAATAAGACATTTATTCCCCATCTCCCAGTCATTCCAAACCTGAACACCCTCTGTCACAAGTTCTACCAGACTCAAAATGGTCCACTACCGGGGACCTCTGTTTAGCCTTTTTCAACATCCTTGGAGACCCCAATAGCCAGTATCTATTTGCCTTACTTGGAGAGTCATGTCTCAAGAGTTCACTGAGGCTCTTTCTCACCTCTCTAGAGCACTTCTCTGAGATTTAAGCACACTCCAGTTCCCCAGGAAATCAGCCCTTTTGCAATATGTAGATGACCTCTTGTTATGCTCAGCTACCAAAGAGGAATCC